CAGCTTCCAGTAGGGAGATGGGAGGGAGCAAAAACATGGACTGTCTGGGGGTCCCCGAGGACCGGAATGAGAAACACTGACCTAGGAAACATCTTGGTGGTCCTGAGCACGTCTGAAGAACACTAGATTACTGTGGTCTTAGAACATCATAAAGGAAGCATCCATCCATCTTCTAACAGCATCTAGTAGAGGATGGCAGGCAGTCTGGAACCTGTCCTAGGCAGTACAGGGCAGGAGGCAGGGGGCCGCCCTCCACAGGAGGCCAGTGAAGAAGAAGAAACATTATCCAATCAATCCATCCATCTTCTAACAGCTTATCCCAGTCAGGGGTGCAGGGGGAAGAAACATTAATTACTTTGAAATTTAGTTGACAGCCCTTTTAAGATTCAGTCAACAGACCTAATGTGTAAATGCACCACCGGCATGGTTTGTGTTTAAGTTTGAATGAGCGTGCTGAAGAGGTGGTTGGCTGATTATTTTATTAAGTGATACATTAATACAATATAATAAATTATACACCTGTCATCTTGGTAACATATAAGCAATATCTGCTGATATATATATGCCAAAATATCCTGCAAGTTAGTATTGACTGCAGTGATTATATATAACCCCCTCATAGCGTAGCATCACAGTTGTGATCTATAGGTGTCATAAGTATACTGGCACCTTTAATAGCTGCACCTGGCTAGTACCAGGTAGGACCCCCTTTGTCTATAGAACCTCTTTAATAATAGATAGTTTGTGCTTTCAGAGATGCCTTTCTGCATACCATTGATGTACTGAGCTGTTGTTTTTCTACTCGTGGCCTTCCTGAGATTTTTAAACAGTCCATTCCTCTCTGACCTCTCTCAGACATTTTCAACAACTGAATTGCTGCCGACTGGATGTTTGTTGTTTACTCTCTGTAAACTCTAGACCGTGTAATATGTGGAAACCTCAGGAAGATGGCTATTCTTGAGATGCCGGAAGCACCAGCAATCACACCGCTCGCTTAAATCTCGCATCTTAGCTGTCCTGATGCCTTGCAGCACAGTAGCCATACCTCCAGAACCTGCCTACGTGCTGCACATATTCATCCTCAGCCAGCCGCCATTCGGACGACCAGGCTGTTAGTGCTAACGAGCAGGTGTACCTAATAAACTTGCCCTGAGTGCACGCGATCCACGCCTCAGATTAGCAGATGCACCCGATTTTCACTGCTGTTCCACTCCAGAAGTCGTCATTCTGCCCTCACAGCAACCCGGGGGCTGCAAGGTTGTGAAGCAGATAAGAGCCATCAGGGCCTGTCCTGGCCTCCAGCTGTAAACCCCAGTGCCTATTGTCTGCCCGTTAATTAAGTTTAGGCCACCTGTCCCCTGTCTGTCTTTGCTGTATCACATTACCAGCCGCATTAGTTTTACGTCTCGCTGGCCATTGGGTTCATTTAAAGGATTCGAAAGCGCCTGGTCTCATAGATAGCAACACCTGCACAGGTACTACTGCACAAGGACACTGTAATGCTGAGCCCCGGGGGGGGGGGCTGGGGCTGTACCGCTCTCTTTTCTACCAGCTTTGTAAATGCATTTCCTGTTAAACACTGAATATGACAGAGTCAGTAAACCTGGAGGATGGACTGATGTTATCAGAAGTAGTTTGAAATAACCTCTTGTTCCTACTTGCTGCTCTTTTTTTTGTTCTGCTGATGTTATGGAGGTCAAGGCATTTTAGGTATTTCAGTGACAAAAATGAATACGTGAAGGAAAGCAGCTACTTTTTGCACTATAAGTTTGTCTGTGATTGAAATCTGAAGTGTTTCCATCTCAGTTTATCTCAGCATTTCTAAAGACAAACCCCAGGTCTACATGCATACGGAGCTGATTGGACCATGCCCCAGGGGGCCACGATCTCTCCCCAGTATGGTGTGTTGTCGACCCAGTCTGCCTGATTACTAACACTCAAGGACCAGTCAGAGCAGCAAACTCTCCGATTGCTGGTGCAGCCGGATGGCCCCCGGATTCACCGTAGGCATTTCACAGAAGTGAGATTCCCTCATGGACTCACCTCATCCATTTTCACGGTGTCCCTCACGTTAGGAACCTTTGGCATTTGGAAATGTCACCGTATGACATGAGGGACGGACGGCGGCCTCAGATGTTTCGGCTCTTAGCTGATGAGCTCGATGGCTGAAGCTCTTTCTGCGCTCAAGTGTGAGTCATCTCTGGGTGCAAAGTGCACCCTGGGAGTGCCACTGTATTAAGAACAGTGAAAATTCAACCTGTAGCTGAACACAAATGGCAACAAAAGTGTGCGAATGTTCCCAGTCCATTCAGTACCTGTCGTGGCATTTTTAGAACCTTTCTAGAGCCTTCATGTGAGATCAAAGGTGATTTCACTTGGAAAAAAAGTGATGCATAAGTCTTATTTCTGTGTTATGGTGCCATTTATATCCGCACTCTGGTACCACGTTAATCCACGTTTCTTTCCTTTCTTATCAGATGCCATATGCATTGTACCACTTTAACAGAAAACTGACGATGGAGCCAAAAATAACCATCAACTCCAGGATTGTGGTCGTTGGAGCATCAGACACTGGGATATCCTTTCTGGAGGCACTGTGCTTCTGGTATGTGTTTTATAAGCCTAGAGTCCAGAATGGCAATGTATTATGACATTGGCATTTACCTGCAGTCTTGCTTACAATGTGTTCAGTAGGGAAACGTAACATTGTGGCCCAAGTGTCTCCCGAAGGTGTAACACCCACTTGGACCAGTGGTCAGGACCTTGGACCATGGAACACATCTGAACAAACGGGGGCCATAAGAGGGAGGGGGGGAGAGAGTCTGTTTGGTTTTGAAAAACTCAGATATAACCTTTTGTTGATTCCTAGGCAAGCTTTCCCACTGGATTGTTTTTCAAAAGGGTGTGATTGGCACCATATGTATTTTCTTGTCAAGTCATCAATTGTCACAGTTACCGCAAAAGTACGATGCATGGACATTGGACACAGTGTACTTTGAGAAGGGTCTTGGGACGCGGATACGACCTGGGACGAAGGGGCGATCGACACGCTGCAGCACACTTTCCTGTGCTGCTCCTGTTGCTCAAACAACAAAAACCCTCATCCCGTCCAAACACCTCGAGATGGTAGCTGGCCGCCGGCTGGCCCCTGCGTGAGGAGGTGAGAATGAGGGTTAGGCTTTGGCAGGTGTGGCATTCAGCGGGCTGCCTCCGGCCCTTTAATTACCGCCGCTCCGCGAGCCCCAGTCACGCATCCTCGCCGGAGCTGTGTTTGCCGAGGACTAATGATTTGACTAATGAGGCAGTTAGTATCCAGTCAGCTGATCGATGTGCCAGAGTTTAGACGGTGGGGGGAGAACCCCCCCCAGCGACCCCTGCATCAATGCTGCTCCCAGGCCAAATGTCCTGTGGCCTCCCGTCAGTCTGGTGTCAACAGGACCCTCCATCAGTCTCTGGGATGGGCCTCAATCCCCTGTGGGTCACATTCAAAAGGGAGCAAATCTGGCAGACAGTGACAAATGGGGCCGGCAGTGCCCCTGTGCCTTATGGTTGGTTCCTGGTCACAATCGCTCGCTGTCATTGGCTGATAAGGGGAGTAATCCACTAGCTGGTGATTGGGTCAAGGCCAGACCCCCAGACACCATGGGAACTAAGTGCTGCAGCATAGTGGATTTATAAATACTGACTGACTATTAACACTTTCAAAATAATTGTAATAAACGTTGTCAGCAATTTTTAACTTAATGTTTAAGTGTTTGTTTTGGACATAATCATCATGCTGCTCACCTGCACCTTTATGCACCTTTATCTCAAACTGAAAATTGCGGATAAGCCTGTCACCAATGGCAACTTGGAGTAACAAGCTTTTAATGGCCAGAATCAATCATTTAAGGCGAGCAGACTTACGTGTTGTTCCAAGCGTGAAATGCACAGGCCTTTGTTGGGCATGAGCAATCATCCTTTCATTCCAGCCGGGCAGATAATGTCATGTAAGCAAACACAAAGGAGGTCGTCTACATCACAAGGGCTTTTCTTTTGCTCTCCTGGGGACTCGGGCACAATGGGGGCTCGGCTTCAGATAAGGAGGAATGAAAATATGCAACAAAAAGGTGCAATAAACGGAGTCTGGAAGTGAGTAGATTTAAACCTGCACCTTCGGAGTGGGTATTCGTTCACAGGAGGTCCCTCCTCTGTAATCCCCACTGCACGCTGTCATCCGTTGCCCATCTCAACCGCTGAGTTCCTGGCAACAGCTAATCCCCTCAGGGATCACACCCCAAGATGCAAGCTCACCTCCTCACCTGGCTCACCTACGCATACTACTGCAGTGTGGAAACATGGGAAGCTGTAATAGGGAGCACTGTAATAGCAAGCACTGTAATATATATATTTTACTTTTGTTGTCCTGTCGCATGTGGCAAAGACCTTTTTGATAATTACTTTTGTTGCATTGATGTGGAAATGAGCCTTTATGTTCATTCTTGAGCCTTCATAGATTTCATCCATACTGATTTAAAATATTTTTAGTAAACTATTTTAAAATAGTATTTTGTGTATTGTTCAGATATAAAATAGTAAAATAAATAAAATTGCAAATATTCCTGTTTGTGGCAAGACCATGGGAGGTGCTTTCCTTGCAGTAAGTTTGTGGGTGTATTTTAAAACATGTGACTATACTGCAGACTTAGTGCTACTTAGGAATTTGTTTGTTTTCCTTCCCATTCCAGCTCACATCTCCAGTTTAACAACCTGACGCTGATTTCCACGCATGGCTACCCCGGCTGCTACACTGATGACAATATGGAGTTTCTTGCCACAAGGTGTGATGCTCCTCAGCATTTATGGATTTATCCAACATGAAAAATCTGTATATTCCTTGTTCTAGTTATTTTCTGAAGTTAATCTGAACCTGAACCCCTGTTATTTATCAGTATTAGAGCAATATCACCATTATTAAGAAGTTTTTTTTAGTGTTTATATATATATATATATATATATATATATATATATATATATATATATATATATATGAGATCTGCCATAAGAGATTCAGATTAGCATTTAAACAGTGTGGCTGACCGCCAAGCCCCTTTGCAGGAATTACGCTGTGTGGCAAATCATCAGAAACCTACAGACTCTGTGCTGTTAATGGGGTGGAGAGATGATTAGGGCCGCAGTTTGAGCATGGCTGTTGCGTCTGCCTTTATTCTCACAATCACAAGCTCACCTCAAAGATATCACTTTCTTGATTTTTTTTCCTCTATGATGCTGTTGTGTTATATGTGATGGATGCTTTTACCCGAAGACTTTTAGCACTGAATTGTTTTTACGGAATGCTTTAAGGACTGGATGTGCATTCAGCCTTGTGCCCTGTGCTGCCTGCGATATGCTCCAGGCTGTCTTGCCAACCTGATAAGTATAAGCAAAGATGGATGAATAGTTGGATGAATGCTTAAAATGTAATTTGGCTAAAGTATTAGAATTTACATCATCCATCCATCCATCCATTCATCTTTAAACTGATTATTCAGGCTGTCAGTGGGCCTGGAGCTTAAATTAGCCTACATAATTTTATGCATCATTATTAATTGGCTATAACGACTAACGACAACAGATATACTCCACATCTATCTGTATTCTAACTGGTTACCCATTTCAGGGTCATGGGGGGCATAGGACTGTCCATCTAAGGGCATACATTCACACACATTGGGCAATTTAGAAACACTAGTTCCCGTACCTGTGTGTTTTTGGATACCAGGAAGAAACCCACAGAATGTATGGAGAGCATGTGAATTCCAAACACATTGAGCAGGTTTGCGATTCGGACCTCCCATATGCATTTCCCAACTGCGTACATTGAGCAGGTTTGTGGGAGGAGCCTGAAGTCTCTCCCAGGTAGCACAGGACACAGGTACACCCTGGATGGGATGCCAGTCCATTACAGGGCACACACACTCAGCCATTTAGTGATGCCACTTGGCCTAAATGGTAATGGTGTGCCTGTACTCAGTCACAGCTACAGCAGCAGGGACCACGCCCAGATCTCGCTGCGCTCCTGGGTGAATGTGGTGGAGGGCAAGATGGTCGGTCTGGACAGGGTTTCCAAGCACGTCAGAGTGTCTGCCGGTCAGAAGGTGCCCTACGACCAGCTGGTCCTCTGCACTGGGCAGCAATACCAGGTGACTTGTCTCCCCCCATGAACAGCACTTGGCAAACTCTGGGGGTGGGACAACAGCTAAGTGAACGGGCCCTCAGTTGGCCTGTACTGGTTTGATATATTTTCTGAGCTTTTATACTCACCTTATATTTACAGAATGTACTCAATAATAATTGATACTTCATTGATCCCCATGGGGAAATTGTCTTTCCACCAACCCCTAACTTGCTTTCTGTAGGTGAGACCAAGCTGGCCGCGAAGGGCAGCCACCTATTGTGGTGCTCAGGGAGCTGGGGTTAAGGGCCTTGCTCAAGGAGCCACAGGTGTGGCGTGGCCAGGCTCAAACTAGCAACTTTCTGATCACAGGCACAGAGGCTTAGCCCAATGCGCCACACGCTGCCCCATTGGCAGTGAAGCTGTGGATCCACATAAGATCAGATGTGTCGTGTGTGTATGTGTCACGTCCCTCATTTTATTTTCCCAAGTAGAAACATAAAGGTGAATCTTCATGGCTTCGATTTTTCTTGCTCTTACCACCAACCCATCACATTGTCACCTGGGTTTTTTAACCGATATTTCTTCCCAAGTTCCTCTAATATAATGTTAACATTTTTGCGTGGGGGAAAAGCAGGTAATTAAACCAAACAGAAGGCAACAATGTCACTGATTTGATTAGCCCATTGTTTTTTCCGCAGAAAGACCTTAATTAGTATTTATTTACTTATTGATTATACAAAGCAAATCATTTGGAGAAATTATAGCTTGGTTATTAAATTGTGATCATGGGACATTAGACTTCCTGATGAAGGGTCAGTCTTCACACTTGTGCTCTGCTTCTGGGTGAAGAAAGGCTCTTGAAATTAAAGGAATAAGTTAAGATTGATTGGAGTGACCTGAACACTCTTGAAACATTTAAACATTCAAAACATAATCCAATCTTGTGGGCTACATGGTGTGCTATGGTTAACATTGCTATAAACCTCGAAGAAATAATTCCTCATTAAAAATTCACAATAACTGTACGTAGTTAAACATTTTTAACCATTTTTATTGTTTGCATTATTATACACACATAGATTGATACCCATAACCCTTCTAACAGATCCATAGGGACCATATCTTATGCCAGTTTAATTATAGGATCATTGATAAATGGTTCATGTAGGTTAATGAATTAATATCACGGCATATACAGGTTAAAATAAGGTGCACGCATTTATAAACTGGTATAAAACTGTTTGGTAGTCAAAGAAAATGTTTAAAGTTATTTATCTGGGGAGTTAGAATATATCTCAGAACATTAACATTATAGTATATGCAAATGATCAGTAACTAAAAATTAAAAAGAATTTCTTCATTCCTACACAAGGTTACTGATATCTTGATGCATGGCTAGATGATCACCACTTTAGTTCCCAAACCTCTCCTCAGCAGCACCTCGGTGCCCTCTGAACCTTCCATGTATTTGTTAAATTTATAGTTAAATAACATGATTGAGGTATTGATAAGCCAAACATGGTGTGAGAGTGGTCAACAAATACGTGGGTGTATTGGATGGTTACTCAAAAAACAGGGGCATTTGGAGGGGTCTTGAAATGCCTAAGCTAACACACTTTGACAGACATAAAATCATAGTTTTCTATCAACATGAGGATCGTTTATACATAATTTTCTTCAACCGCACAAGACATTTGCACAGTACTGTACATACCTATTGGCTTGTGTAAAATGTTCAGTAAGTAAATAATCTAAACAGCAGTAGAGTGTTTTGTAGTTTTGTATAGACCCTGTCTGTCCTGATTCCCACTTAGGTTCCCTGTCCCACCGCTGCAGCAGACATCAGCCAGCCAGCTCCTAGCAGCCAGCTCAGCAGTCAGCCCAGGCAGAGGTACACGGGACCCATACCCTCCAACCTTTTTACCCCCAACGACCCTACGGACTGCCAGAGGGCCTATCGCTGGCTGCTGGCCAACTTCGTGGAACAGGAAGGTATGGGGAGCTGCACCTGAGCCAGGGCTCATGGCAAATCCAATCTCAGTCAAGCCCCGGCCGATCCGAGGGAGGCTTTCCTCTGCCGCAGCCGGCCCCATCTGCTCATCCTGTGCACAGGATCCTATTAGTTTAGTAGGACAAGGCGCCTGACTAATGAAAGCAATAATGTAATTAATAAGGCTCTGTGTTATTAGCTGATTAAACGATGAGATGAATTATTCCGTAATTATTGAACGCCTATTTATCAGTGTGTCTTAGGCTGTTAACCGTAGCGATACATGCAGCTCCTCCCTGCGGCATGAGCCCAGCTCAGCAGCACCTGTGGCTAAGCGGGGAGCACGAGTGCCTTCCCGTCTGTGTGCCCCTTTGCATTTCGCTGCCATCCCTTCCGATGGCTGTGACAGGAGGTGTGTTTACTTATTGCACAGGACTGATTGCTACTTTTAGAAAGACTAAGATAAACCGAGTAATTCAGTGAAACACATATGAAGAGGAAAATACTGACAGAATGGAAACGCAGCTTTATCAATTAGAAATATAAAAGCAAATAGTATTTATATGGCTACAGAGACATGTCCTGCAGATTATGAATAAGGGCTGTTATAGTTTTTAGTGTAAGAATAAATGTCTCTTGTGGCAAGACCTTTCTGATTATCACTCCTGTGGCTGTTATGTTTTTTCTTTTTTTCCCCCCTGCCCTTGAGTGATGTAGAGTCAGATGCTGGATCTTGTGGTAAAAGGGGTGCCCGTCCGTAGGTGGCTGAGCTTGTCCATAGTTAGCAGGCCTGGATGTTAGCATTTGGGAATCAGAGTAAGCAGCCTGATGAAGGCAGTAATCTGCGGTGCAGCTGCAGGATGTGGTTCAGGACCAAGGACAGCACTTCCACAGCGCTCTGGCAGCCGGTGGGCAGGTCACGCAACATGGACACGGGCTTTAAACAAGTTACAGGAAGTCTGTTTATCTCTTCTGTTTTTTATTGTAATTATACCATTTTTCCAGTATTATTCTATAAAAGGGTGTGTTCAAATGAGAACCTGGTGTGTTCTGAGACTGTATTTATTTGTAAATTTCATGGGCTGCATTATAAGATAAAACATTTTTTTTTAATTGACTAGATTCTGATGTAGAAATCTCAGTCAAAATATTGATAAATCATTAATTTTCTGTATTTCATATATTATTTTGTTTTTCCAATGTGTGGGCAGACGTTCGTTGCAGCCTTTATCGATTTGCCCTGTGGGACATCCTGAGACTTCCCAGGATCCCCCAAAGTTGCTGGATGTCATGGACGGCCTGTACACTGGTACTATAAGTGCTGTGTGGAGTGGAGGGAGAACCTCTGCATTCTTCCCAGTTGATTCTGGGGTTCGCCAGGGGTGTGATCTCGCTCCTGCTCTATTCAATGCTTGTATGGACTGGGTGTTGGTCAGGGTCGTGGGGTCCAGCAGCTGTTGGCAAAGAAAGATTTACTGATCTTGACTTTGCCAGCGATGCTGTAATCTTCGCAGAGTCAATGGAGGCTCTGACTGGGGCTCTTGAGAGACTGAATGAGGAGTCTGAGTGTCTGGGATTGCAAATGTCCTGGATAAAAACCAAGATCCAAGCTTTTAATGACTTCTTAGGCACAGCCATCAGTAGTGTGTCTGTCTGTGGAGAGGATGTCGACCTTGTCGAGAGATTCAATTACCTTGGCAGTAACAATCATGTCTCTGGTGACTTTTCCTATGAAGTCAGCAGAGGGATTGGGAGAGCATGGGGGGTCATGAGGTCACTGGAAAGCGGTGTGTGGCGTTCCCGATATCTTTGCAAGAGGACGAAGGTCCAAGTCTTTAGAGTCCTGGTGCTCACTGTCTTGCTGTATGGCTTGGAGACATGGACGCTAACCAGTGTACTGAGACGAAGACTAGACTTCTTCAGTACTGTTTCTCTTCCTTGGGTACCACTGTTTTGACTTTATGAGAAATGTGCGATTGTTAGAGGAGACCTGAATGAGACACATTGCTTGCATTGTGAGGGAGCATCAGTTATGGCACTATGGCCATGTGGTGCGATTCCCTGAGAGTGATCCGGCTTGCAGGATCCTCATTGCTTAGGACCCGAGCGGCTGGACCAGGCCAAGGGGACGCCCACGTAACACCTGGCTGTGGCAGTTGGATGGCCATTTCCGGAGAGTGGGACTGGACAGTGTATCTGCCTGGGGGGTCACCAGCTGGGATCCTGAAGTGTTTCGTCAGGTGGTGGGTGCGGCAACGCACTGTATCAGCGCATGCTCCCCGACCTGACCTGACCTGTTATACACTTCAGCTTTCAGGAGATTTTAAAAAAAAATTGCAGTGTGCAAGGACACGCCAATCACAGGAAGCGATGTCACACCAGCTCATGTGACATCACTTTCTCAGGACCCACCGTGAGTCAGGGCTGAAACTGCCACACCTTGTCATACAGAACATGGTAACAGAAAGACAAACTGATACAGGTTGGAGGGGCATGATATCACTATGGGAAAAGGACAAAAGTTTATTTTATTGATAACTTTAACATAACGGGCCTATTATGTTACTGATAAACCACAACAGGCCATCTGTCTGAGGATTTATAGGATGGAAAAGGGCTTTGCAGAACATACTGTGCTCATTGACAATTAGGGAAAGAAACAATTGGTTCATTTCATTTGTCACTGAAGACATTTTATGCGTCTCTGGACCCCATCGAGGAGATGATTGAAGGCGGGAGCCAGGGTCCCAATCAGCGAATGAGACATGACCAGCCGCCGCTCACATGGCGGAGTGGTCAGGAGATAGGCTGGTGTCCAATTAGAGGCCATCGCTTCTGAAAATGCCATTAGAGCGGGAGAGAACAAAGGGCCGGGAGCACAGCCGCAGCTGGGCTGGAGAGCGCTCTCCTGATATAATGAACGGTCGAAGAAAGGCAGCGGAGGGGCCACACTCGCTGTTATCTGCCGCACGGCAGTCTTTGTCGCCAGCCTTTATTCTGCGCTCATGAATACGGGGGGAGCCACAAAGGCCTTTATAAACAAGCTCACAAAGGCGGGAAACGGGCCACTCATAATGCCGGGCGCGTCCTTCTTTCCGGGGTCCGGGGTCCCTCGGACATCAGGCATGGCTCTGGGTTTAATTTTCGCCCACTTTCAGAGGGAAAACAAGGACGAGTTGGATGAAAATTATTTGAAGACTTGCATATGTAACAAAGTAATGTCCATTAAATTAAAAAACGAACACGTGGAAACATTACAGGACCTTGCTGGATTTCGTAGGGTGGAAGGCATTATGAGGGGGATGCAGGCATTCAAGGGCATAACTTTGGCTGGAACATTGGGGGGGGGGGGGGGGGCGGTGAGGTCTCCATCAATTACGGGGAAACATAATTATTGGGGGGTTGTATTATTGGGGGGCTGCAACCCCCCATCCCCTCCGTAATTTACACCCATGCTGGCATTAAATTAGGATACTTTAATGATCAGAGCTCTAATTAGAGAAGGTGTGCGACAGAGTCATCATGTTCCTCTGGTGCTAAGAGATCTTTCCGAGGCTCAGGGCATCAGAGAGGACTCACCGTGTTGTGGCTGGAACGTGTTGCTACTTGCATCAGAGTCTTCTCTCTAGCTGTGTCCTTTGCACAAACTCTGCTCTGCACCTGTCGCTCCCTTGCAGATAACGCAGTGGTTTATGGTAACACCATAGACACCTACACCTGTGTGGAGGCACTGCTCCGCCTAGGGGTCAGCGGCTCTCGGATCCACCTGGTCCAGCTGCCTGCTAACTCCCCTGTGTCCTGTTTTAACGACCCTGCGGTCGAGGAGGCTGTGGCAGAGGTGGTGACAGAGAAGGGGATCACCATCCACAGAAACGGTCAGCTGGCACAGATTAATGACGGACAGGACCCTCAGCCAATCACATTGCTGTCTTTCACAACTGACAGTGATCCCCTCAGGCTGAAATGTGCAGTAAGTTACTGACACTTTTATTGTACTAGGAAAACGTATGTTAGGACAGTTTGCATGGTACATTTTGCACATACATCCCCAGACAGGGCACTGTGGATCACTGAGTGTGTCTCTAAACACTCAAGGAAAAGTACATTCCAGGAAGGGCCAATTTGGAGTTAGCTGTACAAAAATATATTTTATATTATTTATTTTAAAATGTATTTTTCTAGCTGTTTCTCTACAGTTTCATGTTCAATGTCTCTGGCTGATACAGTACAACATTTTGTATTTTAAGTGCTCATAGTTTATATTATGACATTTATTTTCTAAATTTGGTAGTGTTGACTTCAACTGGAAACAACTGAAGTCTTTTAATGATGAACTAGATTCCTCGAAATGAACATGAAATTTATTATGGAGCATAGAGAAAATAAATAAATACCCTGTTGCTTTGTAGTATCTCTGGACTTGTATGGTTGTAATAGTTTTCTGTTTCTGTTTTGGTAGGTTTTCATGAACTTCTCCTGGAAAGCGGTGGATTATGATGCATTCAGGGTCATTAATGATGCCGGTTTAGTGTATGACAGTGGGCTGGTGATCGATACTGCCTTCCACACTAATGACCCATCTATCTGGGCAGCTGGACCCCTCACTAAGTTTGCCCGGCGCCACCATGCCGGAAAGTGGACACATGCCAATTTTAGCTCCAAAGAGGTGGGCGCCCAGCTGGCCGCTGCACTGCTACCTTTCTTTGACCCCACCCTGGAGCCTCTCGCCAGCCCCACCGAGGACCAGGACCGCCTCGTGCCCATCTACACTAAAGCCAAGATACAGGGTCCGCACCAAATCTCCAACACTCCGTTACCCTGCCCAAGCTTGCATGGCTCCCCCCCTGCTCATAGTTTCCTGCATGTCAAAGGTCACGTTAGTGGTGAAAGGTGCAAAACCACTCAGCTGGACCCAGCAGCAGCATAAAAATCATTGAATCCATGACCCTGACATTTTAATAGTCTGTCAGACCAGTAACTGAAACTCTGAGACCATCAGTCAAATCTCACAGGTCCATTAACCTGTTTGTTAGCAAATTCGCCATTGAGCAAAAACAATACAAACACTTCCCAGACGCTGGATACCAATAAAAAATGCTTTGGGCTGATCTATCACAACAATTAGATGACCTTTCAGTACAATTAGTGTGGTGTAGTGTGCTAATTGTTAAAGTCATGCAGAAATTCCATTCCATTTTCATTTCCGCAGACTTCCTTAATACCTTCACAGGTACATAGGAGTCCTTTTTAATTTCTAAGCTTTTATATTAGTGCTTTGATGTTACAATTTAGAACAAGCACCGCTTTTAAAAATCTTAGGCATTTAATGAACTGCAGTAATCTTATAGATTAGGATGCGATTGACTAAACGTTCCTGTGTAAACAGGTGGGAGGCTGCCAGCAGGATACAGTTATCTGCATGCCTCAAAAGCGACCATCTGTACTCCATTAGCGACACAGATGCTGTCAGACAAACATGTAGGTGTTGTTTCTGCAGTAATATTGTCAGGAGCTGGTTGGGCTGCATGAAATGGGTTTTGTGTGTGAGGTTCACTGCTTTATTTTTACACCAGTACTTTTGAAGTGTAGTGTTTGTCTTAGTGCAGTGATACATTTGGTTCATATAACTATAATTAGCTTTTAGCTAATATTACCTGTTGCTAAATGAATACAACAAAAAAAAATTATGGCTATTTTGTCAATTTTCTGTACTAAGTAAACACTAGCCAGTGCTCAGTGTGTCTTGGCTGTTAACTCAGACTTTTCTTTAGGGCCGGGAGATGGTAACTGGGACAGCAGGAGCTGGTAGTTACTTCCGTCTGTTTGTGAACCAGTACGGTGTGGTAGAATCGATCACTTGCCTCTCTCTGAAACCAATCCCAGTCTCTAACTACCTCTACCTGTATGGGAAGCACGAGCTGCTACTGAATCGACTCTGTGATCGCTTCAACGAGGGTCTGATCCAGGATTTCTACAGGTACAGTAATAATGATTATGAATTCCCCATATTATATTTTACAGGGGCCCTATGCTGCCTGCTGGCCATGTGACCATAAGCTGGGTAAACAGGCCCTTGAAGAATGAAGAGATGAACACTAAAATGTGATTTTAAATATTATTTTGGTAGCACAATCATTTTAAGCATTTCACATGATCTCAATCTCCTGAAAAAGTACTTTAAAGTGGATGTGTGAAGATAAATTTCTATCCGAACTAAATCTAGTGAAATATGCTCACCTGAACACTATCACATCAACATATGGTATTCTTGGTTCAGGTCCAGAGAATTGCTACATTAAATTGCTAACTCTGATTCCAGTCTTTCTCTTAAAAGGCCTGAAAAATCTTGACCTATAACGTATATTTACTATGGTTACAATATAAAGGCTTTTGTATGTAAGCTGTTGTTTGTGTTGGTCAAGTATAGGTCATATTTATCAATAAACTGTGTACTCCTGTCACTTCCCTTCTTTTAAATCAGAACCACATCAGACTCAGGTATTTCCAATAACCAATGCCATGGCTGAAACTGAAGGACAGCCATTGGTCAGAAGGACAGGCAGTGTAGGAAATAATGCGCACAGACAAAGCGTTTAGTATCAAGCACAAGCATACAAGCACTTTCAGCATCCTCGTATGTTTCCCTTTGTCTTCTTTTCTAATATTTAACCATTAAACGTCTGACCCTGCCATGTGGAGACAGTTTGAGTCACCCCATCAAACAACTGTCAGCCTTTCCCAAATCAGTGTTAATGGGATATTTAAATTTGGATTCCTCATTGCACTGTGCCATGGTGCTGAATGTGGATGTGATTATTGAATGTTTAGGATATCAGTTAAAGTGATAGATTGAACATGCAATTGTGATGGGTCGTTAAATGGACAAATGGCTTAACGTGCTCGAGGCCTTATGTCAGCTGAATTAATGGTTCATGCATTGAGGTTGTGTGGCTGGGAGGGAAAAGCAAAGAAGTAGCATAAAAGTAGCCTTATGGCTTCTGTTATTGTTTATGAAAGCATCTGAAGAAGCTACTAGGGCTTTTCAGTAATGTTTGTGCTTGTTTTTTTTTTACCGTGTTTTATAGGTATTTCGAAGAACCATGGTGCCTAGCAATTTTCCATGACCGCTTTGCAGATTTTGAAGAGGAGGTTCGGCAGATTATGGAATCCACAAAGGTCCAGGTCTGTTTCCTGTTCATATCCCAGGCAAAACATTCAAGGGACTAGTCACTTTTTTATGAATCACAAGGTGAATGGAGTATTATTAAAGGGATGAACTGAGACCATCTCAGAGAAGGTATCCATTGTAGTTTTAGTCATTTTATTCAGATGTATCTGATTCTATCATCTTAAGAAAATTGATTTCAAACGTGTAGTCAAAGGGTCTAACCTGTCTTTGTCTTTATCTGTTTCTGTATAGGGAGAAGAGGGTCTGCTTTCTATTCCAGACCTAGTCCAAAGAATAGCTGATGAAAAGCTGTGGTTTTCAGGGGACCCCATGATGTATCTCAAGAACGTGTTTGAGAAAACTGATGGCTTTTCCATGCTGAAGAGAAGCTTGTTGAATTATCTAAAGTACAACAGATACCATTTGACCATGTATGCTCATGCAGGGTTCCTGTAGCAGGTTAAATCAATGCTAAATGTGTTTTTTATTTCTCATGTTTTCATGCAGATATGTCCTGCATGTCATATGCAATTAATTAATGTTGACCAGCTCTTATCTGTAATCTGAAAGCAAGTTTGTTTCGTAATAAAACTTTATGATTTTAAAATAGAATTAGTGTTTAAATAGCATTACTGCTGCTGCTGCTAGTGTAACAGTTATAGTAAAAATGAACTAGTCATCTAAAATCTGTATTAGATTCAAAGGCAGAGGACAGCTGTTCAAGCTTGCTTGAGTAAAATCTACATTTAATAAACATTGCTGTCTAAATCTGTCCGCCTTGTGGCATGTATTTGTTGATATGTTAACTTCCATTCATTGATTTTTACCTGGATGGTATTGTACATATTTATTGTTAACTTCATTGTGATAGTTGTTTATCCAAGTTGGCTTGCATTCGGTTCCATACTTACAGTACAAGACGCAAAACAGTTCGGAGCTGGAGATTGATGGATGAATGGATGTATGGATGGAAGCTAAGGTACAATATTTAAAAAAAATGTAAACATTTTAATGCAGTTCGTATGCTCAGGAAAACAACCAAGTGACATTCTGTACCTGTCAAAATACTGAATGCTGAATACAGACTACCTACGATTATACTGCTCGGCAAAGGCTGCTTTTCACAGTAATTCACTCGGCTTGTCTTTAGGCTTCGATTGTGTAATAAACATAAAAACGACCCTGTACGGTAGTTTTTTTCCCCCGAGCGCAGTATCGTTTTAAGTACAGGGGGTTATTCCGCTGCTCAGCGTGGCTCCCCGCAATGCCGATAAGGTCTGTATGAAAGTGGGTAGCGTTACACTGCCTAGGAGGCAGCTGTATGCTAATGAGCGCAAATCTTCAGTTCATCTCCTGGGCGGTAACACACTCCACTGAACAAATAGGCGGACACGCGTCCCAAACAGACACCTTTCAATCCAGGCGCAAAGTAGCCTGTGCAAACGGAGAAAGAATGAATGTTAACTGTCGCAAAATCTGTTCTAGATCTTATTATCGATAAGAAATATGATATGCAAAAATGAATCCAACTTTCGTGACACGAAGTATTTATGCGTATCATACGAAAATTATTCTACAGAAAAATCCGTCAGGTCAGCATACGCAGCGTATGCTGACCTGACGGATTTTTCTGTAGAATAATTTTCGTAACCGTGAAATACCAAACAGGTTAAGTTTCCTTGTTCTAAGTGTAGAATAACTTCAAGCTCTCCAATCGTCTTTTTATGCGTCGTTTCCTTTACAAACACAAGTGCCAAATAACTACAGTAGGTTCTATCGCTCAATCTTAAATTGTTTAATTCTGGAAGTGCACATAAACAGGCTTGAGTCGACTGGCTTCTTAATTTACTTTAGTGTCATCGTTATTTTGTACGGGTCAGAGACCAATATAAACCTTACTCTAAGCAAGATTGCCATAGAAAAAAATAATTCCAGCGAAAACCTGAGCACGCGTTCGGTGAATTGACAGAGGTCAACAGTGTCTACATCAATTCATTCCGCTCTGACAACCATTCATTATAACAGTTTTGGCTTCTAGTGAAAGGTATTCAAACCGTTTTTAGCTTTGTCGATTCTGAATTTATAATATAATAGCCTTGAATATGGAAATATAGCGTTAAATTGACGTTAACAATTTTAATGAGCACTTTTGTTTGAATGGTATTGAAGGAACCTCGCTAGACATCTTTAGATACCTTAAAATTCCTGTTTTAATAAGTTAAAAAAAAAAATCTAGTAGGCCTAACTTCTCAGGATTGTAACAAAATGCATTTTAATTTTGAACTGCCCGGAGAACAATAATAATAATAATTATAATAATAATAATAATAATAATAATGGTTTAAACCTTACAGTTATGACACATCCCACAATTTAACGGCTGTGCTGACGGAGTTTATGAACACCTATTGTATTTTTTTAGGTTCTATATTTAGATACCATAATGCACCAGACGGATTTTTTCTGTAGACTAATTTTCCAACCGTGAAATACCAAACAGGTTAAGTTCCCTTGTTCTAAGTGTAGAATAACTTCAAACGACAGGTACTATCTCCAGTTCTTTCTGTGGAGAGAAAGCGCGATTTAAGGCATGGAAGTTTTAATGGGGGCATAATCGTGGTCTTTTGCATATGGCCTGCTTTGTTCAGAGCATTAATTACACCCAGCACGTGTCTATCTTTTGGACAGATTGCCGTAGAGTCTTATTTCACCGTGGCCAATTTCCTTTTCAGAAACCAAGGGGATTCATCTTGGCCACATGGCTATTGTGATGTAAAACCAGGAGCCGTTCTTGTTATTCATGTATGCGTAAGATGACTGATTTATTACCCAAGAGTTAAAATGACGAATGCTGCACGTCAAAATCTCCGCCTCATTTTCGGATTTAATTTCTACATGCTTATGGCCTCACATATAATTTACAGATCAATGTGATTCATAAACAAGACAGTGTGGCTGTAAATGACAATTTATAATAAACAACTAAGTATTTAACATGTTTAGTAGGCTACATTGCAGTCGTAATGCATCATCTAACAACTAGGCCTACATTTGTGCCATGCAGCAATCGATTATATGTTGATCACCGTGACATTTATTTCAGAAAGATTGTGATAAAATAAGCCAGGATTGTGTGTGCATACACAAAAACATAGGCCTATAAGAATGTATGTTTATATAAATTGAAAATAGAATGGTTTTTGTTTTATATTTAAAGAAAATACTTTTACTTACAAAAATATACTGACATATGATATATAGGCTAATACTATGAAAATGTTTGCGCACAAATATACATTACTCGTGCACATTATTATCATCATCATCATCATTATTATTATTGTTGTGGTTGTTGTTGTTGTTATTGGTGTTTAAAATAACGTTTATTTGGTGTCTGGTTATACTGATACACTTGCAATCAGGAAAGACTCACGAAGCACGGCACGTGTTCATTTCAATGGAAACCCATCAGACCGTTAAAAGAAGAGGATCTCGACGTGTGCCTCCATCGGGGAAAGCACGAAACGCATTGCAATACAATAAACCACAGGTACATCTGCTTAGTTATCTAAAGACCCTCCTCCAGTTCCCCCCGAAACCAAGGTTTTCTACCCTCCCACTCGCAAATCCATAGGGATCTTAGTGCGGTCTGATTGGTTGGGGATGTGACAACAAGGAGAGAGAACAATGGCATCATTTTGCCTTAAAAAAGAGTGTAGCTATGCTTTGGAGACGAACGCATTTTAGGAGAGGAGCATAGTGGAGGATACAAGTCGGAGTGAAAGTTCACGGTCCTCTGTCACCCCTGCATCTGGAGCTGACTTTTAAAGTGCCTTTTTTGAATAGCGAAGATGCCAAAAGGTTTTCTGGTAAAAAGAAATAAGAAAACGACGCCGGTGTCTTACAGGATCCGGTCTGATGAAGAAAGTCAAGACGCAAGACAAGTCTCACAGTCTCAGACAGATGCACATTCATCTGTATCCCTCGCACCCAATTCCGGACGGTTTGTATCAGCATCGCTAATTAATGGAGCAAATACGCCAGTCTCAAGGCAGGATGCAAAACCTATTCAGTTTGGCAACCCAGAGGTTGTGTACCAAACGCTTTACAGCCCTACCCGTCCGGTTAGCAAGGAACATGAGAAAAAATATTGTGAGGGACGCTTCAGACTTGGCTCTCCTGTCTCCGCTGAATCCTTTCCGACACCCACAGTAGTGAGCACGTTAGATCACCTTCTGTTCGCTCCAATGGACTTGAAAATCGGCAGCAGCAACAGCAACCGCAACGACACCACTAACATCACCACCGGAAACCCTATCAAAAGAATGTCATCTGACACTGAACGCAAGAGCAAGCCTGTATCCAAGAAACCCAAAGCGATCAGGAAGCTGCACTTTGAAGATGAGGTCACCACTTCACCAGTACTTGGACTGAGAATCAAAGAAGGACCGATCGACCAAAAACCTAGGACGCAGTCAAACGTTGGAAACCAGCCTTTAGGAGAATTTATCTGTCAGCTCTGCAGGGAAGCTTATGCCGATCCATTCTCCTTAGCCCAGCACAAGTGCTCCAGGATAGTCAGGGTGGAGTATAGATGCCCCGAGTGTGACAAGGTGTTCAGCTGTCCCGCAAACCTGGCTTCCCACAGACGCTGGCACAAACCGAAACCTCTAAACGCAACCAAATCCGACATGTCTAAGGTCGCCTCTGATGACAAAGCCTGCCCAGAAGAAGTCAAGGACATGGCAGCTGAGATAGGAAGTCACAGGGACACGCCCAGTCCCGGTTTGTCGGAATCGGGGTCAGAAGATGGTCTGTATGATTGTCACCACTGCCGGAAAAAGTTTAAGCGTCAAGCGTATCTGAAGAAGCACCTTATGGGTCACCAGCTGAATAAAATTAACGAGGACAACGCTGTCCAAGTTGCGGTGGATGGGGAGAAGCCGAAAGAGGCTGCATCTTCGGAGGACAGCCAAAGCCAAGCACCACTGAACCTGAGTTCCCAGGAGTGCTACCCGTGCCCAGTGTGTGGAGAGACACTGACCAGCAGGATCGGCCAGGAAAAACACCTCCGTCTGCTGCATCCGTCCCAGATTTTCCCCTGCAAATATTGCCCGTCTACTTTCTATAGCTCACCGGGGCTTACACGGCACATCAACAAATGCCACCCTTCGGAAAACAGGCAAGTGATCATTCTTCAAATGCCCGTGCGCCCTGCTTGCTAGAAAATGAGAAAAGAAGAAGAAAAAAGATGAAAAGTAGTGCCTTTAACTTACAAAAAAATGTCACGGGTTTTTTTTAATTTTTTTGCCAGTAAGAACCCTTCTAAACACATCAGAGTTCCCCTGGCTATCGTATACTTTTTTCATTACAGCCACTCAGTGACTTTTTTCTGGTACATTGGATGGTTTATTTTCAGATTTCCGCGTAGCGTGTGAAAAAGTAAACGATTAGGACCTCTATATTATTATATACTAGCTTCTAGACCTAAGAAAGGGGTATTTTAGGTGCCGCATACCTGTTTTATAAAACGATTTTTATTTCACAGGTTGTAAATCACTTTATTAGCTTTATTATAGCTTGTGGGTCAGTTGACATTCAGTTGTAGATTTGTCTGGAGGCAAATCTCATTGCAACGATTTTTAAGCATTCCCTTATAGTGTAGCCATAAATGCCTTTGATTATAGTCGGTTTACATATTAGAAACTTTGCTTCATAATTGCCTTAAAAAGTTGAACTATAAGTAATGCTTGCAACTGATTATATATCGTTTATTTTAGTAAGTTTAATTTTTATTATTTAAAAGTATTTCAATATATGTATTTTCACAATGGAGGGTATTTATTTATCAATTGATTTATTTATCCAGGTTGTGTTTGTAAGTTATTCTGTGTTTAATTTCGTGAGTAATTATAATTATTTGATTTGCAAATGTTGGTTTTGTCATATTTATCATTTTATTTATATATTTTATGTATATATGTTGTGGATGATGTTTAAATGTCTACTGGAAACTATATACATACACTATTATACGTACATCTCTTAGACGCAATCATTTTCTATATACAAGTTATTTTCGTAAACTTCAGCTTTTATAGTGCTTCTTCAATGGCATTGTTTTAAACGTGTTTACCATATATTCAAATAAAGAAAACTGAACTGAATTGACTTTCTTTTGTATGGGATTAATTCTGAGGTTGTCATCGGAGAGTGGACGTATTGCGTATTTTAAATGGTACCGTTGTTCTTTTTTCAACTGAATATTATTTAAAATTATCAGCAGGCCTACTTGTAAAAAAGAGCCGCCAGTGCATATTCAGGATATAGACCCTACCGTCTGATATATCCTAAGAATGCCTATAACGAACCTTGGTGAGAAATTATGGGAAATGTCTGTAATAAAATAATGAATTGCTGTGGATGCACGAATTAATTAGGAATAAATGCAATGGATGTAAATTACATGCAATTCATTAAAAAGGAACACAATATTTATCAACAATGAATTCTTAATTAAAAAAATAAGTAATGAGAAACACACACACACAGCGTTAAATGACAACCTTTTTGTCACATGACATTTTTATTGTCTGAGCCATATAATTTACAATAATACTGAAAAGGACTTATGAAAACATCACAAGTGATTTTGCAACATGCATATTTCGTTCTTGTGAATAGTACTTTGAACTTTTTTTTTTATACATAAAGTGATATAGTACTAATATTTTAGCAAGGAAAAATATTTTCTGTTTTCATTCAGTATGTTTAGGAACACAGAAATTCGAAATATGCATTACAATATTAGGGGAACCAATTGAGTTACTACTACCGAGCTTTCTATGATTATTATAATAATTTATGACCTAGGCCAAGATTGATCTTCTCTGGCAACGAATATTCCTTATATGTAAATGGTCTGTAAGTTAATGTCCACTTCATTTAGTAAAGCATCCTCCTACTGAAAAAAGATGATCTCACTCACACCCAAGGGGAGTGACTGAGCACTCAGAAATCTGTGGTTTATTCTGTATAGCTTAAGGATGGCCTTCTCAACAAAGGGTCTTCCTGTGGTATATGCAGTGTACTTCACTGGCGCTGTTTAGCAGGGGGAACAGATGGGATAGGTTGGAGGTCAGATTACCCACTGCCATCACATCATCCAGCTAAACATCCGGCAAGATGCATCACACACTGCCTGCCAAGGAGATCTGTGGGATTTAAATGAACCCATCATGAGCAGTGAAGCAGAAACCCTCCAAGCAACAAGGTTTCTTTGTGAAACTATTGACAATTCATATCAAACGTCTGTATACTAGATGAACAAAAAAGACCTTCGTGGGCATTTAAAAATGCATTTTTAATGCATGAATCCAATCCAGGTCTGTATAGATTCATACATGAAAGTAATCTGTTTTACTGGACTGTTCTCAATGTTACTCAAAATAGTCAGTCTTATTCTTATCAGTGCCTTGCAAACTGAATACAGGTAGAACAAAGCACTGGAGAGAGCGCAGTTGGAGCACTGGCAACACCTGGTGAACACCTGGGCCTCCATAGTAACCAGACCCCTTGGGGGAGGGGGGAGGACTACAGGGAGGCAGACTGCCCGGCGACCGCCTCCCGGATGGTGTGCCTTCGCCACACGCCCGCGTGCACATCACACACATGCACCAACTCAATTGTACCAGCACAGAATATGTCAGAATAGATCAAGGCATTATTTAACTTTGGAATTCCTAATCCACGGGATGCACTGCAGATTTAGATTTTTTACTCCAGTTGTCTGTTTAGTTGTGTTGACCAGGTTTGTTGAATGCTGACTGCGGACATTATATCCACGGCCTGCAAGGCTTGCTCTGGTCAGGATGTAAAGCAGAATCACATTGCAGAGCGGGGATAGGAATCAGGAAGCTTTGCCAGGACAGCAATTCCCCTTTTAGGGTTACAGGTATGAGGTTAACATGAAGCAATGGCAAAAATGTGGAAGCACGAAAAAAAATCCAGAAAAAGGTTAACAAAACAAAAAAACAAGTGAATGCAATAATATTATTATTATTATTATTATTATTATTCCAATAAAATACATCCACAAAAGTAGTACTAGATAACCTTAATGAGACATCTTTGCAGTCTTTTTCGCAATACCCTAATCCTGTGTCTCACGCTAATAATTTCTATGCTGATTATTCTGGTTTGCATCCAGTTCCTGAATCTAGTTGAACACAGCTACAGATGAGCACAATGAAAGGTTCTATGCTGAGTATTGTGTGAATGAGATGTTCTCCTGGGGTTGTGCTGGTTTTTGTGCAGTCCAAGAATATGCAGTCAAGTGAATTGTCATCTCAAACTTGCCATAGTGTCAGAATGCTTGTGCTGCACTCTGAGGTGGATTGTTATCCCTTCCAGGGGTTCCCCAACTTTGTGCCCTGTGCCTCTTGGGATAGACTCCAGGCTTATTGTGACCTGGTTCTGGATAAGTGGATAAAAGATGGATGGATGGATGGATGGATGGATGGATGGATGGGGGAAATAGGGGGGGTTTTCCTGACAGTCATGACTCATGCCGATGTGATTGGGATGAAGCTACAGGAGCAGGTCAAGGCACTTTGGCCAAGTTTTATACAAGCCCCGCCCATCTCAGGATATTTCATTAGCCACCCGTCTTTTTTGCCCACCTCCAATCAGTGGTCTGGATGATTGACAGATGAAGAGCAGCTATGAAGCAGGAGACATAGAGATAAGATGATACACATGTCCATGAAGTTATCAGTGTTATCAATCTCTGTAGGAAGCAGTCTGGGTACCATCCCCAGAGACTCACACCACCCTAGCTGCTAAATGCTGAGGCCTCAAGAACTTCAGTGCTCACAGCAAGACAAAGATTGGGGGAATAATATTTAATGCCCCCATTTTCTATGTCTTTATGTGCTGTGCTTATATGATGTCTAATAATATGTATTATGTACCTCTGTATCTTACATTAAATCCATGACTGTCTCTACAAGCTGTGACTGTGACTGAGTATTCATGTGCCTCTTGGCCCCTGGGCAGTTTTTTAATGGTTATGCACATGGTCTTTTCCCTTAAAGGTTTATGCACTCTGACTAAGGTACTTAATCTGAATTGCTCCTATAAAATATAGACACTCTTCACTTAAAGACCTACCTGTTTCAAGACCACCTGGACTTAAGACCAGCTCTCTGGCCAGTTGGCATTGTACGCTGCATGAGAATTCTAGTCGTGGACATGGCAGCATGGCATCTCAGCATCAAGCATCTCATATCACCCTTTCTCAGTCTCAGTCTCGTTCCCGCAGTCGCTCAGCATTTACTACACTAGCATTTGCAACATTAAAACATTAAAAAAGATAGTTTACACAAACCCACTACGAGTAAAATATTGGTAAGGGGCATCTCTTACGCCCAGCGGGGGTGTGGCGCCCCAACCAAGCAATGAGCCATGATGTCACCAGCTCCCACTTATAAAACTCAGACACGATCGCACGTGTAAAGTATTGTTGCCTTCATCTCCCTTATTGAGCGATATCTTCTCCTTGTCTCTCATTCTTCCTTGTCTGCCCTGCCTGATCCCGTCCTGCTCACCTGCCTGTTCTGCCCCGTACTCCTGCCCCTCATCTCCTGTGTGCCTGTAGGATTGACTTCTCTGCCGTGCCTCGTGACCCTGACTACGTCTCTGGCATGCTGATTCTACGTCTGGTTGCCTGATCCCTCTAATAAACTCCCCAGTCTCCAGCATATGGGCCTCCTGCCCTTCCTGTGTACAGCAGCTCCTTGCTTATTGATCAGTTCGCTTAATGACTTAGTTGTAGGAACGTAACTCGTTCGTTAAGTGAGGAGTGTCTATATACATACTGTACAAGGGAAAGCAATCATTGGATTCAAGCTACCTGTTATGGCTGCGTGATTAATGCTCATGCAGCTCCTGTTATTGTGGGGATTATGCAGCAGAAAACGCGTTGGGGACTGTGAAGAAACGAATGAGAGCTGCTGCACCTGTTACGTGGCTACGGGCCTCAAGCCCCCCACACTCACCCGTCTCCTTCAGGTTCTCGAGCCTTAGCTATTCCCTTTGTCCACCCCCGGGAACCCCGCCTTAACCTCCCACCCCCAAAAAAACTAACTGCTTATCCAATCAGTCCGGCGGGAGGCACGTGCTGCCACTTATGTATGTGGTTTTAAAGCCAAAATGCTGCCAGCAAAAAAACGCAGTAGGGGTACCCAGAGTTAAAGCTGGCTTTTCCTGGTCTCTGCAGACATGCTTGAATGTGCTTTCCATTGTTCGGATGTTCCTCTCAGGTTCCCCCCCCCCTCCCTGGACAAGAAAGCTGGGGAAAGGGGGTCAGAAATGCTCACAGGAGGGGATATTAAAGGGACAGCATGCTGGTAAATACAACCAACCATCACACCAATGTTCCGATGTCTGAGTCCCTACTGAAAGCCTGATAGATGAAGTCCTGCCTTCTGCATACATGTTGACTGCAAGCTGTCTAATTTTGCACTGTTCCGTATTGTTTTGCACTGTGTTATATTGTCTAACACTTGTTTAGTCCTTTGTAACTGAGTGTGGCAAAACAAACAAGCAATGCATCTTCTGCACAGGACCAATAAACAATCTTTAATCTTGACTTTCCTATAGAGTATGAATGAAAGCCTGGCCTGAAGGAACATAGGGCATTGTCAATGGATCAATCGCTACTTGTAGCAAAAACAGAAGGCCCCTGTATGTTATGCTCTCATTCAACTCTGGTTTAAATAACCACAGAACATCACCATGTTACCTCCAAGTACTTCACTGTATCTGTAACATCTTTCCTGAAACCGATAAGTGCAATCAAACGCCATTAGACACAAGTTACCTCCAACCCCCTTGGGGTCAAATAGTCTCTCCATTATCCTAAACCCACAGATTGATCCGTAAGTGAAGCTCGCACATGGAGAAACACCCAAAATGATAGTCCACTGTCATATTGTCTACTGGTTGCAGGATTGATTTGCACCCCGCTAAACGTGGCTTGGTCAGGTTGATCTGTGACCCTCCTCAGCTGGGTAAGCAATGGCTTTGAAAAGCAGGCTTTTTGGTGGCATATA